CAACAAGACCCTCCCGTGGGGCGAGTGCTGCCTCCTCTGAAATGTCAAGGGTGTACCGAGAGCTTCTGTAAATATTGTAAACCACGAGAGGTCCATCCGCCAGGTGTAGGGTGACAGCCTGAACCTCTACGCCCTCCCCACAGTCGATGGGGTCAGTGAAGATTGAATGAGGGATAGTGGTCCTGACGTAGATCGCCGTGCCCCTGCCAGTCCCTTCCAGGTGCTGAAGGTAGGCAGAGAATCCCAGAATACGTGGCTGCATTTGACGTGACAAATCGGTGAGTGTCTCCTGAAACAGGAAGACATCAACCTCATCCTGAACTGCAGCTTCAATCACTAAGTGAATTTTCCGCTGCAGCCCACAAACGTTCCACTGGAGGATCTTCAAGGGCCGCAGAGGTGGCTCACTGCTTCCATCTCTGCCTGGGACTCGTCGGCCGTTGTTGGCGACTCCGGGGCCTCCTCCATCACAGACTGAAAGGACTCCTGGATGATGGCTTGAAGTTCCATTGAGTCTTTCCTGTCCAGTAGGACCACGCCCAGCATCCATGACAGGAGCTGCCTGCAGGCGCCCCTGTCCTCTGCCGACGGCAGCAGGCGACAGAGGAGCGCTGAGATGACCCCGATGGTTTTCTTCAGTCGATCCGGAAAGGATTTGACCATTACCTCTGCAGGCATTGAGCTGGACGACCCATCGAGTCGGGGCTGGGACACAGGGTATGTCTGGGTGGCTGTCGACACTGCAGCAGCATATGCTGGGTGCACCCTGGGCCCGGCATGAGTGGCCATGGGCTTCCAAGTCCCCTGGCGGGGTACCTCTGCCTGACTCTGGCCGCTCACAGTAGGGGCCTGCCCTTGGGGAGGGGCCTGCTGGCGGTATGGTAAGGAATGTTGGTGCCCAGCTGGGACCTGCTGGGCAGTGTGCCTGGCCTGTGGCTGTTTTTCCCGATGATTCTGTCTTCTTGGCCACCTTGCCATCTGACCCCGCAGTTGACCGCGCTGCTGCAAATCAGTGTCTGCCCCCTGATGCCTCCGCTAGGAGCCCAGTGCTGGGAACTCGCTGGTATTGCCCTCCTGCGGTATCCGGGGAACCGTGATTGGAGCCCATGCTGACTGTTGCTGGGCAGTTCCAAGGCTGGGTGGCGTCGGGGCTGTCGGGTCGTTCCGATGACGAACCTGCTGCCAGTGCTGCACCATCACAGGACAGCTCCGGTTCCAGGCATGGTGCCTCTTTGAGCAGTTGGCACACTTGGGCTCTGGCCAAAGGGCTTCGCCAGTTGGCTGTTTGAGGATTGCAATGCAGTCCTTCGAGTCGTGTGCCTTGCTGCACACACCACACTTCTTCTCTCGCTGGCAGGTGGCTGCAATATGATTGAACCCCTGGCAGTTGAAGCATTGTACTGGGCCTGACAGGTATGGTCGGGTCTTGAATCTTCCCCAGACCCCAAGGTCCAGGTGCATGGGAAGTGGACCTTTGTGGTGGATCAGCACATGGCGGGTGGGCACCTTGTTCACCGTTGCAGTGAGTCGCTCCGCCTTGACAATATTGGGCACTTCCAAAATGGGGTCCAGTGGGAGGGGCACAGGGACGTGTAAAAGCACCCCCTTGTACACCTTCTCCGAAGCAAGCAGTTCCACCATTCTGGGATGGGTCACAACCAGCCCCTTCAACTCCTCGTAAGAGTCTTCGTCCCGAGGAATGACCAGAACCTCGTTCCTGAGAGTGAACTCGCAGCGGAACTTGAGATGGGGGAGACCTTCCAGATACCTTACAAACCCGTAGTTGGGAACCTTGAATTTGTTGAAGGCCCTGGTTGCTTGTGCCCAAGTTGAGCGGGAACTCCTCCTTCCACATGGAGTCAGCCAGTCCCCGTCCACTGTGGAGGCCAACGCAACTGGTGTAGGGACCTGGGATGGCTCCATCCTTGCCACTTGAGGAGCTACATCCTCCTGGCTTCCTTCCACGACCCCTATGGCCATCTGGGGGTGCAAGTCTTCTTTGGTAGGGGCTGCCGACGGACCTAGTGGCAGATTGGTAGGTACAGTAGTCTCCACTGCATCCTTGGCCTTCTTGGAATGACGCTAATCTGTGCGTAAACTAACACAGATTTGCGAACACAACACACACACTGTTTTCCAACCCTCGTCCAGTCGATAATCCTTATGAATTGAAACTCTTGTCCGTCTCTGCCGCCTTCAAGGAAAACTTCATGTCCCGTATGCTCGGGTAGCCTGAAGACCTCCAGCCTCGATGGTCCTCCCGCCTTCCAATCCCTCAGCATCCGTGTCTTCCGGGGTCACCCCAGTTTCTAATTCTTTTGCAGTTTTATCCTTTGACACTCCTACCTCCGCACCACTTCCTACTTCTACAGTTCTACTTCATCTCGCTCGCTTGCTTCTCAGTCTACGAGTCCTTGCAGACCTAAATTTTCTTCACGTCCATCACCTATACAAAATCTACCTTCTATCTTTGAGCCTAGTTCTCACCCCCTTTCCAGCTTAAATATTTATGTGGTGATCAATGAGTCTTTTGTTACTTTATTTAATAAATTATACATTTTCCTATTTCACACTAAAACTTATTAAAATAACAAACTAATCTACCCTTGGATATAAAAGAATTACGCAAATCAAGTGTGATGTGGAATTGTTCATTTTCTGTTAAGCATGCCTAATTTTTTTAGTATAGTTTCCCCTCAAGGGAGGTTCCTTGCTGCTGGTGTTTACCTGGAGTTTACCTGGAGAGAGTTCCGGGGGTCAACGCCCCCGCGGCCCGGTCTGAGACCAGGCCTCCTGGTGGATCAGAGCCTGATCAACCAGGCTGTTGCTGCTGGCTGCACGCAAACCAACATACGAGCCACAGCCCGGCTGATCCGGAACTGACTTTAGGTGCTTTTCCAGTGCCAGCTTGAAGACTGCCAGGGGTCTGTTGGTAATCCCCCTTATGTGTGCTGGGAGGCAGTTGAACAGTCTCGGGCCCCTGACACTTATTGTATGGTCTCTTAACGTGCTAGTGACACCCCTGCTTTTCATTGGGGGGATGGTGCATCGTCTGCCAAGTCTTTTGCTTTCGTAGTGGGTGATTTTCGTGTGCAAGTTCGGTACTAGTCCCTCTAGGATTTTCCAGGTGTATATAATCATGTATCTCTCCCTCCTGCGTTCCAGGGAATACAGGTTTAGGAACCTCAAGCGCTCCCAATAATTGAGGTGTTTTATCTCCGTTATGCGCGCCGTGAAAGTTCTCTGTACATTTTCTAGGTCGGCAATTTCACCTGCCTTGAAAGGTGCTGTTAGTGTGCAGCAATATTCCAGCCTAGATAGAACAAGTGACCTGAAGAGTGTCATCATGGGCTTGGCCTCCCTAGTTTTGAAGGTTCTCATTATCCATCCTGTCATTTTTCTAGCAGATGCGATTGATACAATGTTATGGTCCTTGAAGGTGAGATCCTCCGACATGATCACTCCCAGGTCTTTGACGTTGGTGTTTCGCTCTATTTTGTGGCCAGAATTTGTTTTGTACTCTGATGAAGATTTAATTTCCTCATGTTTACCATATCTGAGTAATTGAAATTTCTCATCGTTGAACTTCATATTGTTTTCTGCAGCCCACTGAAAGATTTGGTTGATGTCTGCCTGGAGCTTTGCAGTGTCTGCAATGGAAGACACTGTCATGCAGATTCGGGTGTGAAGAGGCTTTTGATCCAGGGAATTGGATTTGCGCTCAAGTTCCCTGAATTGAGCCTGAATGTCTTCCACCCCGTCCCCTACAGGCGCTGTATAATCCCTACGGGTTTAGCGCTCCCCCTAATAATAATTAGTGCAGTTTGAGGAATAACTATAATAATTTCGCGTTGCTCTGACTATAGCAGAGTTATTATAGCAATAAATTTACACTCAGCACCTTGAGATCATTGCATAATGAGCCAAGACTGCAAACGTTGACTGAAAAGCTCGGCATCTTCACCTGTAAGTAAGTCAGTAGGTAAGTCAGTAAGTCAGCAAGTCAGTCAGTCAGTCAGCATGTAAGCCAGTCAGCAAGTAAGTCAGTCAGTAAGTCAGTCAGTAACTCAGTAAGTCAGTCAGTCAGTCAATAAGTCAGTCAGTCAGCAAGTCAGTCAGTAGGTAGGTGAGTAAGTTTATTTAGGTACAGGTCCACAGAAGTACAATTATCATACGTAGTAACATGTGTGTAAATTGCGTAGGATAACCCCAAAAAAAGTGAGACTTATGCCCAATAACAATTATTACGCAGATTATCATACTGATTACAAGGATCTCAGTGGAAATGCCATAATAATTAATTAATGGGCATAATAATAATGCGTAATAATAATTAATGGGTATAATAATTATTATTATCTCCATTAAAAATGGGCATAAGTCACAGTGACTTTTGACTATTAATTATTATTATGAATATTATCACACTGATGCCCCTCAAGGCAGGTTCCTTGATGCTGGTGAGGGGCTCTTGATCTAGGGAATTAGAGCTGTGCTCTAGTTCCCCGAATTAAGCCTGAATACCTTCCATAGGTTTAGCTTCTATAGGTTTAGCTCTTCCCCTTGATTATAATAATAATATCACTGATTGGAAATAAGTTACTCTTACTTTTTTGGGTTATCCTAGGTTCTCTACACATATGCTGCTATGTATGATAATTCTATGTAACTGTGTATGTGTATACCTGAATAAACTTACTTACTGCATGAACACCAATGGAAATAAGTCACTCTGTCTGACTTTTTGGGGCTATCCTGGGTAATTCACACTACGTATGATAATTGTACTTACATGTACCTATGCCTAAATAAACTTAAGTGTGAATTACATTGGCTACCCCCCCCCCAAAAAAAAAAAGTGATTTATGCCCATAATTATTGCAAAAATAAAAATATTTATTATTCAGATTATCACACTAATTATCCCCACCTCTCGCAAAATATCCAACGGGGTATTGCAGAAATTATCTCTCTATTAGTGGTCAGGTGAAAGTAAAAGATGTTTGTTGGGTGATATGAGAGATGTATGGCCGCCAGTGTCAGCTGTTGCCGAGGAAAACACTAAGTGACTGCTGCCTCCCACACGCCGCCAACTATGGCAAACATCGCCATACAGAGAATCAAGAGGGAGTTTAAAGAGGTTATCAAAAGCGATGAAGTAAGTTTTGACCAGGTCGTGGTAGTGTGGAGCAGGTCAGGGCTGTGGCTGGAAGAATGGAGGTCATCTTACGAGGGTCTTTGGTTGGGGGGGTCAAGTGGCACCTACTCCACTTCAAGAGGTGCCCTTCGTGCCTGTCTTGTACCGAGCCTGAATGCCTCACATTCCCCAAACGCTGTTTAAACCCCCTACAGGCTTATTGCTTTCCCCGTAAATAAGATGAAATTCATGACATTGAGGAAGCTTTTGATCCACGGAACTGCACTTCTCCCTTTCATCTTGCCTGATTGCCTCCCAGTCCCCATGTGTTGCGTGAGTCTAACGGGTATATCATTTTTCATGATTATTATTTAAAAATACCATGGCACGTAATATGACTGGTAAGTCTTATTAATTTGAACTATACTTACCGACCACTACTGTGTGACAGTCACTTGTTCACAATATTGTACACACAACCTATGTTCACCCTGCAACAAGTAAGCATTTCTTATGCAAATTGTTATTTTGAGACATATTACCCAAAAAATGCAATTTTGGTTGCAGAGGACATCATGGCCAATCAATGGTTAGTGTTATATCACAATCCTGGTCTGACTTGTTTTTCTGGGTTGTCCTAGGTAATTTACACATGTTATTATGTATGATAATTGTTTGTACCTGTACCTAAATAAGCTTACTCTGCCACTACTGATAGTAGAGTAAGGGTGTTTTGTTATTTTCACTACCTGGAGTTTACCTGGAGAGGCTTTTGGGGGCAGGGGCATCGCAAGGGGGATGGGGGCGCCCTGGGTGACACCATAGAGCTTCAGGGTTATGTTTAAATGACAACATTCAAAATAGAGTTGCTAGTAAAGGCAAATCAATTGATCAACAAGAAAAGAGAGATAGTAGAGGGCAATGAGTGACTAGCTTCCTTAAGGTTTACTATACAGATAGTAGGAGTCTAAGAAATAAGATAGATGAGCTAAGATTACTTGCAAGTGTAGGTAATATAGATATTATTGGTATAACAGAGACCTGGTTCAACCTGAAAGATAGAGAAATGCCTTCTGAATGCAACATACAGGGTTATAAACTATTCCACACTGATAGGGTCAACAGGAAGGGTGGTAGAGTGGCGATGTAAGTCAGAGATAATTTAAATTGTTGTCTTAGACATGATGTAAGATTAGAAACATCGAACATAGAATCTGTTTGGCTACAGTTTCTCGAGGGCTGTGAAAAATTGATTTTGGGTGTGATTTATGGGCCCCAAACCTTGATAGGGACTGCAGTAAGCTGTTATGGGACAAAATTCATAAGGCATCTAGATATGAAAATGTTGTGTTAATGGGAGATTTTAAAGAGAATTCTAAAGAGGATTTTAAAGTTAAAATCTTGAGTCTAGTGACTTTCTTGATACGGTTCAGGATTGCTTTTTAGAACAGTTTGTGACAGAACCAACTAGAGGAAACAATCTGCTTGACTTGATTCTTGCCAACAAAGAATCACTAATTAATAATGTTGAGGTTAATGATGAGCTTGGGGAAAGTGATCACAAATCACTTAGTTTCATTTTTTTTTTTTATTATCACACTGGCCGATTCCCACCAAGGCAGGGTGGCCCGAAAAAGAAAAACTTTCACCATCATTCACTACATCACTGTCTTGCCAGAAGGGTGCTTGAGTGAATGATGGTGAAAGTTTTTCTTTTTCGGGCCACCCTGCCTTGGTGGGAATCGGCCAGTGTGATAATAATAAAAAAAAATTGAAACTAAGTGATTTGTGATCACTTTCCCCAAGCTCATCATTAACCTCAACATTATTAACTAGTGATTCTTTGTTGGCAAGAATCAAGTCAAGCAGATTGTTTCCTCTAGTTGGTTCTGTCACAAACTGTTCTAAAAAAAAAAAGCAATATATCAAGGAATTACCCAGATAGATACAATCAAATCTCTGTCCCAGGCTTTTGCTTGGCCAATTTCATGGGAATGAAAAATTACCTGGGTGGGCTAAATTGGGATGACCTGACTATGGGTCAGGTAGGTGATCTTTGTTGCCAATATGATGTTTTTCAGAGCATAGTTCTAGCTGCCCAGACAACTTTTATTCCGAGTAGGGAAATTAGATCTAACAAGAATGATCCCAAATGGATGAACAATAGATTAAAACATCTCATTAGTCAAAAGAGAGGCATATATAGATGTATCAAAAGAGGGGATGGGCAGTTGAGAAATCACTATATTCAATTAAAGAGAGAAATAAAAACAAGGTACAAGAAAAGCAAAAAGGATTATGAGGCTAAGGTCGCAAGGGATTCAAAGACTAACCCAAAAGGTAAATAACAAAAAAGGTACAATACCGTGACTGGAACGATACACAAATAACCCGCACATAAAAGAGAGAAGCTTACGACAACGTTTCAGTCCGACTTGGACCATTGACAAAGTCACACTAACCAGAGGTTTTAGGGTTTTTTTCAGGTATACAGAAGTAAAATTAGGGACAAATAGGCCCACTTAAGAGTAACCTAGGTCAGATCACTGACAGTGATAAGGATATGTGTGAAATTCTCAATACCTACTTCCTCTCAGTTTTTACCCAGGAAAATACTAGCGAAATTCCTGAAATAATAGATTATATAGAACAGGGCGATAATAAATTATGCACGATTGCGGTAACTAGTGACATGGTCCTCAGACAAATAGAGAAACTAAAACCTAACAAATCCCCAAGCCCTGATGAACTGTTTGCAAGGGTGTTACAGGAATGTAAAGAAGAACTTAGCAAACCTTTGGCTAATCTTTTCAACATATCACTACAAACTGACATAGTGCCTGATAAGTGGAAAATGGCAAATGTAATACCTATTTACAAGGCAGGTGACAGGTCCTTAGCTTCGAACAATAGACCAATAAGCCTACAGTAGTGGGAAAATTTATGGAATCAATAATTGCCGAAGCAATTCGTAGCCATCTTGATAGGCATGAGTTGATTAATGAATCTCAACACGGCTTTACAAAGGGGCGTTCCTGTCTTACGAATTTACTAAATTTTTTTCACTAAGGTGTTTGAGGAAGTAGATCATGGTAATGAATATGATATTGTGTATATGGACTTCAGTAAGGCTTTCAGTAGAGTTCCACATCAGAGGCTATTGAGGAAACTTAAGGCACATGGAATAGGAGGAGAAATTATTTCCTGGGTAGAGGCATGGCTGACAAATAGGCAGCAAAGAGTTTGCATAAATGGGGAAAAATCAGAATGGTGGCACGTCACAAGCGGTGTTCCGCAGGGGTAAGTGTTGGGCCCTTTGTTGTTCACAATTTACATAAATGACTTAGATGAGGGAATAAATAACGACAAGCAAATTTGCTGATGACACCAAAATAGGCCGTTCAATTCACTCTAATGAGGACCATAGAGCACTTCAGGATGATTTGAATAGACTGATGCAATAGTCAAAGAAATGGCAGATGCAGTTTAATATAGACAAATGCAAAGTTCTAAATGTTGGACAGGAAAATAACCATGCCACATATAAACTAAATGATGTAGATCTTTATACACTACTGATTGTGAAAAGGATTTAGGAATTCTGGTAAGCAGTAATCTAAAACCAAGGCAACAGTGCATTAGTGTTTGCAATAATGCTAACAGAATCCTTCGCTTCATATCTTGAAGTATAAATAATAGAAGTCCTCAGGTTGTTCTTCAACTCTGTATATCCTTAGTTAGGCCTCATTTGGATTATGCTGCGCAGTTCTGGTCACCGTATTACAGAATGGATGTAAATGCACTGGAAAATGTACAGAGGAGGATGACAAAGATGATCCCATGTATCAGGAATCTTCCCTATAAGGATAGTCTGAGGGCCCTGAATCTGCACTCTCTAGAAAGACGTAGAATTAGGGAGGATACGATCGAGGTGTATAAATGGAAAACAGGAATAAATAAAGGGGATTTAAATAGCGTGCTGAAAATTTCCCGCCAAGACAGGACTTGCAGCAGTGGTTTCAAGTTGGAAAAATTCAGATTCAGGAAGGATATAGGAAAGCACTGGTTTGGTAATAGTTGTGGATGAGTGGAACAAACTCCCGAGTGCAGTTATTGAGGCTAAAACGTCATGTAGCTTTAATAATAGGTTAGATAAATACACGAGTGGGTGTGGGTGGATGTGAGTTGGACCTGACTAGCTTGTGCTACAAGGTCTGATGCAGTGCTCCTTCCTTAAGTGGAAGTGACCTGATTAGGTGGGTCATTGGGCTAATCCAGGGGGGGACTTGGACCTGCTTCGTATGAGTCAGTAGGCCTGTTGCAGTGTTCCTTCTTTCTTATGTTTTTATATATCACTACAAACTGGCATAGTGCCAGACAAGTGGAAAATGGCAAATGTAATACCTATTTACAAGGCAGGCAACAGGTCCTTAGCTTCGAACTATAGACCAATAAGCCTGACCTCCATAGTGGGAAAATTTATGGAATCAGTAAGTGCCAAGGCAATTCGTAGCCATCTTAACCCTTAAACGGTCCAAACAGATCGACATTCAAATTCGTAGTGCTCCAGAAGTAGATCTACTTTTTTTTACATATTTTCAAATGTAAAACAAAAAAGAAAATCTACATTTTTTTACATACTTTCAGATGTTGAAAAAACGTATATATACGTTTGGACCATTTAAGGGCTAAAAGGCATAAACTGATGAATGAATCTCAGCACGGTTTTACAAAGGGGCGTTCCTGTCTTACAAATTTACTAACTTTTTTCACTAAGGTACGTATTTGAGGAGGTAGATCATGGTATTGAATATAATAGTGTATATGGACTTCAGTAAGGCTTTCGATAGAGTTCCACATCAGAGGCTTTTGAGGAAACTTAAGGCACACGGAGTAGGAGGAGAAATTTTTTCCTGGGTAGAGGCATGGTTGACAAATAGGCAGCAGAGAGTTTGCATAAATGGGGAGAAATCAAAATGGGGGCACATCACAAACGGTGTTCTACAGGTGTCAGTGTTGGG